AAGTTTAAAAGCTGAAGTTCTAAATGTTCTTTAGTACATATACATAAATTTTTAAAGTATGGGCAGTATATTGTGTATATGTATTTACGTGCAATATATTGTATACGTGCAGTCAAACTGTAACAATTCTACCTAATAAAAATGAAAAAACAAAACAAAAAAACCTGATTCTGACATTTACAAGTTGTATGACCTCAGGCAAGTTGTTCATTTCCTATGTGACTGTTTCCTCATCTGTAAAAATATGAATGATTAAATGATAATAATAATATTTACCAAATAAGTTTATTGTGAGGATTAAGTGAGTTAACATGTGATGGGCATTAAACTTAGGACCTTGCATGAAGTAACCGCTTGAAGTGTTAGCTATTATTATGTATTACTTTTATGAACAGAAAATATAGACTGGCAGCTCTGCATAAAATTTGACAGAAGATGACAGACATTATTAACCAAAATAGTATCATAGTAAGTTTTAATTTCTCCATGTCTTCTCATGAAGTTGGCCTTGGGGGCCACTGAAATCTGACCTTCAGTCATTTCAGAAGTTTGTTTTCCCAAAATTAAAATCCTTGATGTGTGTTTCTTTCCCCCCCACCTTTCTTTCTCAGGGAGGAGCTTTTTATTTCATGGAGCATGTAGCAGCTAAGCATTCAACTTGGAATTACTTCTGGCAACAGGTCCTGGATCCTGTGTGGTACCTTCTGTTTGATGGGTGCAGCCTGACCAGAGAGAGCTGGAAGACCCTGGAGCAGGCCGGCTTCTCCAAGCTGAAGCTGCAGCATTTGCAGGCCCCACTGTCCTGGGAGCTGATGCGCCCTCACATCTACGGATATGCTGTGAAGTAGTGCAAGCAGGCAGTAGAGAGCTGAATGGCTCAAAGAGTTCAAGGCTTTGGTTTTACACTTAAAATACTAATTGGGAGAAGGGAACTCTTTTGTTTTTGTTTTTTTTTTTAGCTACAGGTTAATTTCATCCCTAAAAGTTTATGCTGTAACTGATTTAGCTATTTTCTATAGTCTCACAAAGAATCAAAAACAAAACAAAACAAAACAAATCGGCTTTAAACCCTCCCTTAAAGGAAACAGTGGGCTTTCATAATTGAAGTCTACAATTATCCTCAATTCTTACTTTATTAACCTCACGATTTTTCTTATTTAAATTGTTACCCAAGAGATTTTAATTTCATTCCCTCTCTGAGAAGCTGATGCTCTCAAAGCAGTTAAAGCACTCAAAAGAAGATTTTGAAAAGGGAGGAGTGAAAAGATCTTAATAATTCACAAACTGAATACAGAAATACTAACTAGTTGAAAATCCAAACCTAAGTAGCACAATTTTTTTGGTTGTTTATTTTGGAAAAAGAAATCTGAATCTATTTGTTGTTCTTGGTATCACTGGGCTGGCTTTCAAGATTAATGCACCAGGACGCCACACCTAGTTCTGCCCAGCTTTGTTGTTCTTCATTCCAGTATCCCATCAGTTTGTTCTCTTGCATTCCAGTCTTCAGTTCTTAAGATGAAGACTGTACTTTAGTATGTCCATAAAACTGTATGAAGCAGTTAAAAGTTCTTGAGTTTATTTCCTCATTATCTACTACATTGCTGAATGTAGCAAATTGTAGGTGAAGAAAAGTCTATTGTAATTAGGGAAATCCTGTAATTAGGTACACTCTGTAAGAGGCCCCTCCCCACCAAACAGGCAACCTGTGAGTCTGTAAAGAAGTAGACAAACATTGCTTGGATAACTTTGATCAAATTTCCGCTTGGGTCCCAAGATGGTTTCTTTGTTCCTTATAGTCATGGAAACCTTGGAAAATCATCACATATGCTTTGAAAACACGCTGGTCAGTCAGAGGGCTTAAAAGAATTTTCAGCGATAGTTTGAATTTTTTTTAATACACTTAGTATATTTTCTGAGATGATTTTGCAAAGAGACTATTTTAAGTAATCAAATCAATCAATGACTTCATGTACATTTTAGGAATGGAAATAAAATTAATGGTTTATATCTTTGCTGGCTTGGTTTCGTTTTTCTGAGTGTCTCTAGGAGAGCTTTCCTTCATTGTAGAAAATAAAGCTAACTGAACATACAGATTTTTCTTTCTACAGCCAGGTAACTCTAAACACAGCTAGCAGATTTTGGAAAAAACAACTCTGGAAGGATCTAAATGGGTTTTGAAAAGTTCAAGTGCAAAAATCCCATCTGTGAACTCCATAGAGCAGGAAGAAAGGAAGCTTACTGTTGTCTCCTGAAGGTGGAAACGGTTAATGTTACAGTGAGGGTGGGACCGCTTATCTATGGCCTCCTGAGCTGTGGAACAAGAATATCCTCCCTCTATAGTCTCTCCAAAGTAGGAAACTCCTTAATTTACCTGCCTCACTATTGGTTCAGTCAGGGATTGAGAAATGTGAAAAGCCACAGGCTGACAGGGTGACATGTTATCAGCACCTTGGAAGGTAAGTAACACCGAAGTACAAAGTTAACAGGCACTATCTTAGCCAACTCCCTCCTGTTCAAATAATTAGCAAATAGTATTCTCACTCCCTATGGGTTTAGAAAAAGAAATAAGTGAAGTATCTTACATTCCACAAGTTACCGAGCAAGTCTTTGAAGTCCTGATTCCTAAAACCACAGCACCCATTTTGATAAGCCATCACTGCCATACCACCTTCTCACTGCTTTCCTCCTCAGGCCCAGAAAACACGCATTTATGATCATTCCAAGAGCCTAAGGAAGTGACTTACAACTATGCAACTAGGAAACAGAAAAAAGGCAAAACACGTCCAATGTCTTTTAGATCCTGTGTTGGTTAGGATTCCCTTGATTGTAGGTGAGAGAACTCCCAACCCAAAAAGGCTTAAGCAGAAAAAGGACTCCACTGACCCAAATGTGAAAGGTATCGGGGCAGACAGCCTCGGGCACAGTTGAGCAAGGCTCAGATCATCTTATCAGGAGCCAGACACTGTCCAGGGTCACCTGTGCCCTCCTCTCTGCTTCAAGCAGTGAGTCTGTAGAAGTAGTACCGAACTTCATGTTTCCAGGGCCCAAGATCAGTTGGAAAGAACTACTTTTGCAAAAACTCCAACCAAAGTTCTACACTGAGTCTCAACTGCCTCTTACTGACAATACTAGGTCACAAGTCCATCCCTGAGTCAATCATAGTGTTTCAATGGGATGGATCATGCTGACTGGCACAGTGCTTCATCCCTAGGGCTGAGCACACCCAGACCATGTGGACTGAGACAAGGAGAGGTGCGAATCCCCCAAATGAACTGTGCTGGGGAAAGCAGGAATGGACGGTGGGGAGGCACACTACAAATGTCCATTATAAGCACATTGTTCCATGTTTTCAAGACATTTAAAAAAGTTTTTTAAAATGTGTTGCACTTTTAAAAATTTATTTATTTTATGGGAAAGACAATTAGGTTTACTGTCTTTAGAGGAGGTCCTGGGGATTGAATCCAGGACCTTGTGTATGCTAAGCATACGCTCTACCACTTGAGCTATACCCTCCCTCTCATTGCTATATTTTGATCAGACCCTCCATCTGTTTTCCTGTGATAGATCACATAGGACCATGCTTACAACTGGCTTTTCAGTGGGATAATTGCATGCAATGAGGGAAATAAACAACAAGACACTGGCTTTGGCATCAAAGTGATCTTAGTCAAGTTCTGCTGTGTCATTCGTTGATTATGTAACCTGGTGCAAGTACTTCTATAGTCTCTTTCCTTATCTGTTAATGGCAATAATACCTACATAAGGGGTTACTGTGAGGAGTTAATGAAGTGAGGCATTCAGTGCTTAATAAATGCTGGACTTCATTCATTAAATATCGAGTGCCTACTGTGTACTCTGCTCTTGGTGCTTGGCTTAGAGCCCTGAAGAAGCTAGATGTGTTCTCTGCTCCCGTGGGGCACACAGTTATGGTCAGTGCTCTCAAGGTGGGGAAGTGCAGGGTGCCAGGAGAATGGAACCTGACCCTCCCAGGGGGAGGAGGATCAGAGGCTTCCTTGAGGAAGTGGTATCCGAGCTAAATTCCAGAGGATGAATAAAGAGTATTTCAGACTAATGGAACAGCTCGTGCCACAGACAAAAAAAAAAAAAAAAAAAGGAAGAAACACAGTATGTTCAAGCAACTGACAGAAAGCAGGCAGGGCTGGGCACCTGAAGGGCAGATTTTAGGATGGCTACTATTTCCACCAGTTTGTTCCTAATTTTGTTCAGACACTGGACTGGGTCCATGCGCATAACACTTATTTTAATGGCTAACAAAAAACATTAAAATGTATTACAGTTATACAATATTTATATATTATATATATATATATTTATTATACTCTATTCCTAACTGTTCTAATATTCTAATTGTTTCTTCTTAATTTCTACGTATTTCATACTTGAATAGAAAGTGAGGCAAACATTACATAATAGTTCCTTTTGTACTCCTGACCCTAACATAAGCCTTTCTTATTTGGTATTGCTTTAAAAAATACAGAACTTAACTGAAATTCAATTCTTATTTGTTAGGCCATTGAGGATGTAATGAATCACAGCGGACTAATGTCAACAAAAGTAAAAAAGAAAACTATTCAGTGTCACTTTAAATATCTCAGTACTTAAAACCAAAAATATTCAGACTACATTAAAGAATAACCGGAGCAGGGGAGGGTATAGCTTAGTGGTAGGTTCCATTCCCAGTAGCTCCATTAAAGTAAATAGATAAAAACCCAATTACCTCCCCCCTCAAAAAAAGAATTAAAAAAAAAAAAGAATAACCAGAATTCCCTGAAGCATGGAACCACCAGAGAACTGTGGGCAGAAGTCATGTTAACTGAGGGCACAGGAAATAAAACAGAGTGGCAATGCTCCTAGGTTCTAGTTCAGTGAACAAAACAGTAATATGCCGATCAAGTAAGGTATTATTTTTCGTCTAAAGGAAACTATTTGGGAACCTGAAGAGAACTTCATGGGAAAAAGGAAAATTGCTCAGTATTTACCATTCTTAAAAGTAGAAATTTCTTACATGCAATAATAGTCTTAATTCAGGCTGCATCCTTTTCAGTCTTTAAAATGTATCTGACACTGATGCCAACCTTCTCCTTGGAATGATTCTTTTATTCCACGATTCTAACAGCTAAAAAGAAAAACGTCCATTTATTGTCTGCCTTCTTTATAACTAGGGACTTTTACACAATTATTTCATATAGTACTTCTAACTTTCCAAGGCAGATATAATTATCTGCATCTGATAAAGGTGAAAGCAATGGATGCTCTGTCACTTGCGCGAGGCCACACAGTGAGTGGCCACCCTGGTCTTCCCACGTAGTTTACCTGACTCGGAAGCCCAAGCCTCCCCAGCACACTGCCCCGCTTCTCGGGGTCTTTTCAAGACTAGTCTTTGCAACTACTTCCTCCTTCTGCCACCATTTTTCTGTGAACGATCTCCTCAAACTCATTTGGTCTATGTTCAACCCCTTCAGAGTGTCTTATACTCTTAGGCTGTGAACCACCACCTATGTGAAAAAAAGATTCCTAAACCTCACATCACACTTGCCATGCCTTTGATATTCAGAATTTAACACCTCAAAAACAGAATTCACGCTCCCCTTCCCTAAATTAGCAACCCCTTCCAACTCCCTCAATACCTTCAATTATTTCCCAAGGACCAGGTAAAGTGATAACCTTCTAGAAAGCATCCTCTGGCTGTTTCAAGAAGCTTCTTCTCTGAGAAATCTCTTAGCACACACTAATATCCTCCAGTCTCACCTTCCCTTCCTCCACACGTGAAACACACTGCGTACTACACAGCAGGTGCTCAGGAAGTATTTGCTAATGGATTCATCATCACGTCTTCCCTCATCTGCCACATACCTCTCAACTGGTCCCTTCTGCTGCCTTCCACAGCCACCATCTGAGTCTGAGAAGTAATGCCTGGATGACCCCATGTATAGATTCAGTGGGGATGGCTGGGATGACAAACCGTTTATGTTGGAACTTGCCAGTTATTGCTTGATTCAAGAATATGACAGGAAAGCAGCTCTAAGGTCAGAGCGAGATATTACATCTATACAGTAGTAGAAAAACACTTCTTTTGCAACTGACTTAACCTTCTTTGCCTTCCTTCACCCAATTCACTCCATGGAAAAACAAGCTCAGCAAACAACTTTCCTGGGTTACAAAGAAATGGCCTTGTAGGCAGGCACCAACACTTCATCCAAGTCATAATCTCTCTTACCAGAAAATGCTTCAAACTGGTCTCCATGCCTCTGCGCCTTCATCACCTGCCCTGAGCATGAGCTCATAATTTCCAGAACAATTTGGCAAGAGTATTTAAGGGCTAAAGCTCTCTCTTGATCCTTTGATAAACAAATCATTCCTTTTAATTCAAAAAGAATTTTGGGGGGGAGGAAGTAACTAGGTTAATTTTTTAGTAGGGGTACTGAGGACGGAATCCAGGACCTCATGCATGCTAAGCATTCACTCTACCACTGAGCTATATCCTCCTCCCAGAAAAGTTTAATCTGGCCATTCCCAAAACTCAAAATTATGAAAGTACCTAACTCAGCATAAGACTGAATTTAGAGGGGAGGGTATAGCTCAAGTGGTAGAGTGCATGCTTAGTTAGCATGCACGAGGTCCTGGGTTGAATCCCCAATACTTCCCCTGAAAATAAATAAACCTAATTAACCTCCTTCCCCCAAAATAAAAAAAAATAATTAAAATACAATAATAAATAAGACTGAATTTAAGCTGCTCAACCCTGTATTCAGGGCCGTCTGTCAACTGACACCTCAACTCTGTGGTCCAGTGTAAAAAGCATGGGCTATGAAGTCATAATATTTGAATCCAAATATCATCATTACATATTACTAATATTTTATTCACCTAGTATAAGAGGAGATGTGGGTGTTATATACACACACACACCATGGAATACTACTCAGACACAAAAAAGAATAAAATTACTAATTATTACATATAAAATAGATAAACAAGTTTATACTGTAAAGCACAAGGAGCTATATTAAATATCTTATAGTAACATGATTAAAAAGAATATGAATCTTGCATAACTCACAGTGAAAAACAAATGTGACAATGAATATGTGTATGTTCATGTATATCTGAAAAATTGTGCTCTACACTGGAATTTGACACACTGTAAAATGACTATAACTCAAAAAATGTTTTTAAAAAAAGTGACTCAGCAAAAAAAAAGAATATGAAAACGAATATATGTATGTTTCTATATGACTGAAGTATTGTGCTGTACACCAGAAACTGACAACACTGTAAACTGCCTATGCTTCAATAAAATATATATTTTAAAAGAAGAATAAAATGCCACTTGCAGCAACACAGATGGATCTGGAGATCGTCATTCTAAGTAAGCCAGAAAGAAAAAGAAAAATGCCATACGATATCACTTATACGTGGAATCTTTAAAAAAGGACACAAATGAACTTGTCTGCAAAACAGAAAAAGACTTACAGACATAAAGAACAAACTTATGGTTACCAGGCGGCAAAGGGAGTGGGACGGGATCAACTGGGAATTTGAAAACTGCACCTCTTGGGGAGTGATGGAAATGTTAGCTATCTTCATTGTGGTAGTGGTTTCATTGGTGTATACATCTATCAAAATTTATCAAATTGTACATTTGAAATATGTGTAGTTTAACTGCATAGGAACCATACCACAATAAAAGTGTTAATTTAAAAAAAAAAAACAGAAGATACCACCACCCACATCTCCTAGGATTTTTGTGAAGATGAAATGAGATATACAATGGCTGGTAAGGGCTCTGGAATCGCTCCACACAGTCCCTCACTCTCGCCATGGCCTCGCCTCCTTAAGCATTTGTGAGAACAGAATGAAGTGAATTTTTCTATCAAAAAAAGATATTCTACCTCTATAAATGTCCTGGAATTTTACTTGTCTGGATTATCATACACTATAATGTCTTCTGACGATTCAGTATTTTTTAAAAGAAATCTTCCATAAAAAATAACTCGGCAGAGCTCTCATTTTTGTATGTGACAATAAAAAATTGGCACCTACATGAGATGCACTTGCTTCAGCTGCTGCAAATAACTTCCACATGGAGTGCTATGGATACAGACATGATTTTCTAAGTCCCTCTCATCTTGGCTCCCATCTTACCCATCAAGCTAAGCATGTAGTATTAAGACTGTAAAAGCAGCAGCACTCCATTCAAATTCTATCTTACCTCTCAGGTTATGGGAACAGGTTATTAACTCTGACCCCAGAGGAAGAGCTTTTTTTTCAATTTCATTGTCCACCAAAGCTTAGAAACAAAGAAATCTAAAAACTGTCTTTTTCAAAAAGCAAAGGCTGAAATAGTAAAATAAATACACATTTATTTATAACTATAAATGATGCCATATACCCCACCTGCCCAAATATTAAAAGTGGGAGGAAGGGGGGAGGGAGGTGGGAAGGGACAGATTGGGAGTTCAAAATTTGTAGATACTGACAGGCATATATAGAATAGATAAACAAGATTATACTGTATAGCCCAGGGAAATATATATAAGTTCTTGTGGTAGCTCACATTGAAAAAGAATGCCACAATGAATATATGTATGTTCATGTGTAACTGAAAAACTGTGCTCTACACAGGAAATTGACATAACATTGTAAACTGACTATAACTCAATAAAAAAAATGTTTAAAAAAAAGTGGGAGGAAACACTGGAGAAAGTGGCCACTATTAACAAATTGTTAACCTGTCAACCTACATTTCTGCTAGTGTGCTTTTATTTTCTTCCCTTCCTACTCTGGGGAGGGCCCTTGTGAGTAAAGTTTTATAAAGAAACATTTACCTTCTGCTCACACAACACCTGAATGACAGGTATGTCTGAAAATGTGAGATTAGGTTAAAATGGTGCTACCTAAAATCAATTCTTAATTTTTATGGGGTCCTAAGAGATTCCTTAAGAGTCTGATGAAAGATACAGATTCTTTCCTCAGAAAAAATGCTCCTACCAATAAACATACCATTTCTAGAGGAACACAGACATGCCACACACCTGACTAAGCATACTGTCATCACCTCCAAAGTGCTACATATGAAATCTTTAGACTCTGAAGTCTCATTCTTGAAACCCAGCCTCCTAGCCTCCCACCTCTCCCACCACACTTGTTCTTCAGTTTAGAGATCTTGAGTGCGTCTAACCTGTCTTGGTCTGTCTCAGGCTATCAATTAACCTTGATTCCCTTCTCTAACCAGGCTGGACTGCAGAGTAAATCAATTCATCACTACTCTCCCATTCATGCCTCCTTTTCCTACTGCCATAAAAATCTGCCAATATCTGACCATGGGTCCCCTTTACTCCTAATCTGCTTCTTATCCTGTATTTTTTAACTTTAGCAAATGGCAAAACCAATTTCTGTCACTGTCACTCAAGCGGGGAACCAAGACATCATCCTAGCTTCCTCTCTCTCTCTCACCTCCCACACCGGTCAGACACCGACCTTTCCTCTCTTCCCCCACCACTTCTGCACGCATCAGTCCTTACTTGAATTAAGTGATCTCAGCCTCACCCTCTCCAATCTGTCTTTTCTGCTGCTTCCAGAACCTAAATTAAAAAATCGCTTCCTGCCTGAAATCTTTTGATGGTTTCTCGAGGCTTTCAGGTTGAAGATCAAAATCCTTAGCTTAAAATGCAAAGTTCTCATGATCTGGCCCCACCGGCCACATAGCTCCATCCTCTACAAGCCACTCCCACAGTCTGGGTTGATACATTGAGCCGCTTGGGCTGTTTGCCTCTGTGCCTTTCGACAAGCTATGCCCTCTGCCTGGACTACCCCTACTCTCTCTTCATCTAAAATTTACCAGTTCTCTAAAACATTCCATAAGCCACTTTCTCCAAAAAGCACCTTCTTGCTCCTCCAGTTTGATTTTTAGATCCTTTATCTATGCTCCCATTGGTCCACGCCTCTTCCTCCCACCATCCCACCATGCTCTCATTGCTGCTCTACTCATTTGTCTCCCCAACTCAACTCCAAGCTTCTTGAGGACAGGGCACTTGTCTTAACTCATCTTTCTACCTGCAGCACTCAATTAAACTCTATTAAATGAACAAATGAACCCAGCCCTTTGCTTCCTCTGTTGCTGCTCTCAGGAGAAAGGACAAAACCTGAGTTAGACTTTCAATGCTGCTCAGAAATCTTGTAATTTACCCTCAGCTGCCACAGAGCCCAAACCTTTACCACACTCATTTCCACACTATTCCTCTCAGTGGGTGAAGTCAACGTCACTATTCATTTCATAGAAGAAAAAAAAAAAAAGAGCCACTGAGTGG